GTCGCAACTAGGTGTAGATATGCTTGCCTTGAATCTACAGGAGGCCCCTAACCCTGCCACGGAGGCAATGGTTGTCGAAGAAACGCCAAAAATGACGTTAGCTCGAGAGAAGGTTTTAGAGGAAGCAAGGAAGGCAATATCTGGAGACGGTGACGTACGTCCTGCTATCAGCATACTGATCATTGGTAAAGTGGCAAATAATCTTTTGCTCTGTTACTAACAAAAACTAGGACACGTGGATGCTTGAAAATCTACACTGGTTGGTAGACTCCTTTACGAGCTTGGTCGGATTGAGGAGAAGAAGAGGACTCAAACTTTGAGAGCAAGCGAAAAATCGGGAAAATCAAGTTTCTCTTGGGCATGGGAGTTGGATTCTGGAGAGGAAGAGCGAAACAGGTGATTCTTAAATTGCTTCTTTGAACTTGAATGAAACTGAAATTTGAAAGAGGAATCACAATAGATATTGCCCAGTCCATCTTGCCGCTTGCGAGTAAAGATATCACGGTTTTGGATGCTCCAGGACACAAAGACTTTGTTCCCAATGCAATCTCTGGTACACAGTGCCTTATCAAAGCACAAAATTTGTGGCGCTAATATAATTGTAGGTGCTTCTCAGGCCGATTGTGCTCTTTTGGTGGTAGATGCTACAACGGGAGAATTTGAAGCAGGCTTTGATAAGGGAGGGCAAACTCGAGAACATCTGCTACTGGTCAGGAGCCTAGGAGTACAGCAAGTCATCATAGCTATTAATAAGCTGGATACGGTACGCAAGGCTATCGATAATTAAAGTAATGACTCATAGGGTAATCAAGGTTGAATGGTCGGAAGCAAGATATAAGGAGATCGTGGACAATCTCGCACCTTTCCTTGTACAGTCCGGATATCAGTCATCGAAGACCTTCTTCGTGCCTGTTTCTGGATTCCTGGGCGTGAACCTCGTGGATAGATCTGTTCCTGAAGCAACACCTCTCTCGACATGGTATTCCGGACCGACTCTTGTGGATTTGTTGAGTATGTGAAGGCAGTGTGGCGTAGTCCATATCTCTAACTCAAATCCCAGACAATTTGCATCAACCAGAGAGAGCTTTGGAAACTCCTCTCCGATTTCCTATCTCAAATGTTTTCCGCGGTCAAACAGCTACGTCATCAGGCATTGCGGTGGCGGGTAGACTCTGCTCTGGTGTTGTCCAGGTAGGGGAGAAGTTACGAGTGCTGCCAGGTGATGAGAGTGCAGTGGTAAAGAGTAAGTGTGAAGAACGCGAGAAGATTGTTGACTCATTTCTTCATAGTGATACATTCTGAAGGAGATAGTTTGCCGTGGGCTGCGGCTGGACAAAATGTTCACCTTTATCTGACCGGTATTGATCCAATCAACCTAGCGTAAGAATATCCTAATTCATGATTCGTATCTAACCGAGATTTAGTATAGGTTCTGTTTTATGCCCCGCTTCGGCGCTAGTTCCTCTTGCCAGCGCCTTCGTTGCTCAAATAATCATCTTTGAAATACAGATACCCATAATCGTCGGAAGTTCGGTTGGTGGCAAAGCTCATCTAACGGTATTGATGATTAATGACACTCTTAGGTTGAACTCTTTCATCAGGCACAAAATATACCAGCAACTGTGACCCCGTTAGAAATATTGGATCGAGCTACGGGATCGGTCCTAAAACGTAACCCACGAGCTCTGAGTAAAGGCATGTCGGCCAAAGTTCGTATTTCCTTGCGAGGGAACACCATGTCCGAGACATCAAACACAACATCGGTCACTAGGATACCTATAGAAACGTTCAAAGAAAATAAGGATATGGGGAGGATACTGCTGAGGCGAAATGGAGAAACTATCGCAGCTGGTACGTGAATGACTTCCCGTCGGAACATATGACCTGACAATAGGTTTGTTTCTAGGAATAGTACTTTCGCTTGATACATGAGTATCTACTGAATAATTTAGACATGTAGTTTTGACAGGAGTTCCTAGTGTATAAGAACATTAAAAAAGGATCTATTCAGCACTGTGGACTCCACCCTAAATCGACTTGTTAGGAATAATTAGTTAGTCAGGCGATTTAACTTACCAACAAAAAGCCTCGAGAGATTAGCTGGATTCCTTGCCGTGACGATCAAATCGTTGACTGTATATTCCACACTGAGAGAGGTATCCAGTTTGCCGGCAACAGAGGATATTGCCCGGTCCGCTCCCTGTACTTGGGGCTCTGAGCTGGGGAGCCCTTTAGCACCTTCTATATCGTTTCCATCATCATCCATATCTTGAATTCGACGCAATTTCCCAGGAGCAACAGCCCTTGTATAGGGTCAGCAAAGAATCAGGGAAGACCTTGTGTACTGACCATTGGTGGAGAGGATCGTATTTAAATACCTCTAGTACTGTTTTGATGGTATCTGAACCCTCTCTTAATGCCCTCAGGGCCTCTTCACAGCACCTTCGAAAGACTCCTTCTGTTCCTGCAATACCCAACCCATCCACTATATCCGGCGTAAGTCGGAATGGTACCAATTCTGGAATGGCCAGCAATTTTCCCTGAGAGAGTTTAAGAATAATACAGCTAGAAGTCACATCTACTTACTTGATCGAACGCAACACCTAGGTCTATGTGGATGACCTCTCCAGTTTTTGCATCCATCAAGATATTAGAAAGATGACGGTCTCCAAGACCGAGAATATGGCCCGCTGCAAGGGAGTCAACACCAAGTTTTCATAAGGAATAGGTGAGAAGGGGTCGCAAGTGAAGTCCCTCGCCTAGCGGCTTGGACGACGTCGTCTGGACTTGGGGTGTCAAAGAGGAAGGCGATTTAACTTACCAACAAAAAGCCTCGAGAGATTAGCTGGATTCCTTGCCGTGACGATCAAATCGTTGACTGT